TAGAGGTGGCCGGGTCAAAAGTGGTAGCCTGCCTTTGAGCTGAACTGAGTTAATTTGGTCTGCTATTGCTAAAAAAAGGTTGCTGACCCCTGATCTAGATAGGTCAGCATACTTGGTTCTGCATGCCTGTATGTTTGCAAAGACAGATAATTATGTCAGACGGGAGTGGTTTTTCTGTAGTTGTTGGACCTTTTAATTAGGTCGACTTTTCTGTTTTAATGCTTGAAATAAGAATGTGCTGATCTTTGATTACCTGGTTGCAACCTGAAGACTCCTGTTACATAGCTGGGTAGCAACCAGCTATGAAGATATTGCACATTTTCCAGCTCTAGCTTTATAACTGGATGGACCTTTTTATGGTGTGAATAGTTACTTTGCACATGTAGCCAGTCTAAATTAATTGAGCAATTAACCAATTGTGTAATACACGTAACACGTAGAGGGGTCCTGGTAGATCAGAGGCGGGCAATTATTTCGGGCGGAGGGCCGCTTACTGAGTTTTGGCAAGCCATCGAGGGCCGCATGACAGGCAGCCCAGGGCAGATTAAAAAATTTAGAAAATTAATATTAGGGGCCCTGTGGGCTGGATGAAATGGCCTGGTGGGCCACATCTGGCGCCCGGGCTGCATTTTGCCCACCCCTGTGATAGATGGTGAGTTAATGGCTACAGCGATGCACTGTGTTGTTGGCTATTGCCTGTGAAGCGATGGGAACTAATGTCACTTTAGGGCCCAAGTAAAAATGAGCTCACTGAGTTACACAGGCGCTAGGTGCTGCTTGCATGAATGTCATTGAAAATCAGGCACGATTTTGTTGAGTTATACCATTAGAAACCCACGTGAAGATAATCGGGGATTTGGAGGATGAAGTGAAGACACATTGGTGAAGATGCACCAGAAGTGTTGTCCTCTTCCAGGAGCACCAGACTAACACAGGAGGAAGCACAAACTCTTGATGTAAATCAGGTGATTTTGTCAGTAAATGAAAGGAGTGGTGGTAAGGTTAGCTTGTGTAAGATTAGTTTGTGTCCCTCCTCTGAAAAAAAAAAATGACCGAGGGTATAAAATTAACAACTTTTTTCCCTGGGCCTTGTCAGGA